ACAATAATAATATACCGAGTTCAATAACACAATAACCATATAACTAGATAAAGCCAACAACAACAACAACAACAACAACAACAATAATAATAATAATATACCGAGTTCAATAACACAATAACCATATAACTAGATAAAGACAACAACAACAACAACAACAACAATAATAATAATATACCGAGTTCAATAACACAATAACCATATAACTAGATAAAGCCAAGGTGTTCTTACAAGAAACAACAGTAGTGCAGAGAAGTCCCAGGAGTATTCATACATACATACATACATATTAGATTTCTATACTGCTCTTTTTCTGTAGACTCGGAGCGGTTTACATAGTTTTATACAATTATCTAACCTAGGGGCACATAGACAGGGGAGTGACTTCCTTACCCGGGCACCCCTCCTTATTTAGGCTGGATCTTCTTCTTAGCTTTTACCACGGCGGGCTCTCTTTTTGTTGGTACTGGCGATGTTTACCGGCACAGGTCTTTCCATTCTTTCCAGCAGCGACACCTCCTGGTTACGGCAGCTTACGACCATGCCGTATTCAACATGTCTCACTCCTGTTGTATTGTAATTCCATAGTCCAACTTGAGATACATTCATCATAGAGTGGACTCATACAGTTCCTGGAAAATCCACATAGTCTTGAATTCCATAAGCCGCAGAGACGCGTAGTCCAGATGCAAGCTGCACGATGATCCTTTGTGATTAAATAAACTGGCTTCTGTATGTGCCGCTACTGATATTGGGCCCCACGGTAGCCTATTGGTTTTGAAAAAGAATCCTTCGAAACGTGGCAGCTTGCATCCGGCTTCTGATTGGCCATTGGAGATCTCATTGGCTGCGTAGATTTTTAAAAAACATTGCTGTCGTAGCAGCCGCCTCCACATCACATGGATCGGCATGGCGTAACCGAAGATAAGCAGAGTGTATTCAAGAAAATATTTTAAAACGATTTGTTCATTTTAAAGGGCATCCTGTTAAAAGGGGTTTCTTCCTGAAACGCTGAAGAGTCACTTATAAGAGTTATCAATAACCGCACTCTCTGACATTTGGTGGTTGGCTCCTCCTCCGACGGCAGCCATTTTGTCGTTGGCTCCACCCCCCTGTGGCAGCCATTTTGTGCCCACACCACCGTGTGTCAGAACACCGCAAGTGCAAGGGAGGTGGTGTGCAAGCCCGGTGCCTCATTGTGTGTACAGCATTTCTAGAACTGAGCACACACAAAGGAACCAGCCCGGTGCAATGCTTTGAGAGGAAAAGGGATTGCATTCTTAACATTCCGCTTATCGTGCCTGGACTAATTTATTATTAAATAGCTCATCAAATGCTAACACTTGCTCTTCTGATTGAGAGGGCTATATTAATCTCGCTGATGCATACATTTCCCGTTTTGCATTACATTTTATTCAAATGCTTTTTGAAGAGCCCTCTGTTTAGCATCAAGTGATCTTCCCTAGCTTGGGAAAGAAACATGCATCACAATTTCTTGATCAAGAAGAACTGTCAGGTTAATTCGCTTCTCCCCGGGGCCCTTGTGCCAGGAATGCTTAGCTTTATCTAGTACCTGTCATATGAACTATTCAGTCTTTCTTTCTTTTTTTTAGTACTACCCTGTTTCCCCGAAAGTAAGACATCCCCTGAAAATAAGACCTACTTACAGTTTTGCCTCTTGCTGAAATATAAGACTTCCCTCGAAAATAAGACCTCCCCGATAATAAGGCCTCCCCCAAACATAAGGCCTTTCCGATAATAAGGCCCCCCGAAGCTACCGTAACTCTGGACTGTGGGCCGTAGCGGCAGGCGCTGCCACGCAGCTCACTGTTGGCCGCCGCGCAGCCGGAGCAGACAGGAAGTGCGAGGTCTCTTTTAATCAGAGAGCCCGCGCTGCCGCCAGGACAAGCTGCCGCCTGCTGCTCGCTCTGCCCTGACGGAGTGTACCGTATTCTTCTTCATGGAAAAATAAGGCATCCCCCCAAAATAAGACCTAGCGCATCTTTGGGAGCAAAAATTAATATCAGACACTGTCTTATTTTTGGGGAAACAGGGTATGTGATCCCTCCCTTTTCAAGTTCATTGGCTGAAGGTTTCGGTCCCGTAACGGCCTCATCCAAAATGTTTTTCATGGCTAGCTTGCTACTTCTTTCCAGTCACGAAAAAAAAAGTATGACGGTGCAGGGATTCTGAGATTCCTAACCCAGTTAGCTTGAATGGTTGAACGATATATGCAAGGAGAATAGATGGGGGAATGTACAGTGAATAATAAACAGACCGCTGTTGCTGAGTTTGAGAGCTGGGCCGGAAATAAAAGTTAAATTTAGAAAGGAAAATTGTATTGGATGGATGCCCAATAGCTAAGCTTTTGTCCTGTGAAGGATGTTACTCTTGAGCAAGCATAAGAACATAAGGGAAGCCATGTTGGATTAGGCTATGGCCCATCCAGTCCAACCCTCTGTGTCACACCGTGGCCAAAACCCAGGTGCCATCAGGAGGTCCACCAGCGGGACCAGAACTCCAGAAGCCCTCCCACAGTTGCCCCCCCAAGGACCATTGGTGTGGTGACCATTACTCTACACAGTATTCCAAATGAGGCCGCGCCATAGATTGACACAGGGGCTGAACTCTGCTGTTTCGAGGTCCTCTCTCTTAAAATCGATGGCAGAACTGCCATTTGATTTGAAAGGGTCAAAGTTCACACTTAAACAACCAAGGAATAACTGAAAGAATAATCACAACCACCTAGGGACAAAGGATTCGTATCTCATCACAGACGCTGATTTTCTACATTTCCCGCCTCTGTGCATATCTCCTTGCTTCAATCAGACGGATTAGCTTTTGCTTTGTCCTTCTATGTCCTGACTCCAGCTGTGTCCCTTCTTATAAACACCCCTCCCACCTTCTGACCCCGTTATAAGGGCTGATGGATCTCCATTCTCGTTTGTATCTGAAATGAGGTTTGACTCACAAAACCCCAGGCAATTTTGTTGGTTTTAAGGTCCTTCTAGACTTGAATTTTGCTCAGCCGCCACTTAAAAATTAACACAGCAGGAAATTCCCTTATGACAGGAGAAATTTGACTCGATCTCTTTACGGGGTTGTGTGATGCTCGTGGCTGGGACTTCCCTTTATGGAAAAGTACAGCCATGAGTAATCTCTGACAACAGTTGGCTTTCGGTCGTTAACACTGGCATGTGCTGCAAACCAGGCAGTCTTGTTATGCTTTTGGCCCTTTGGGTTTCTTGTACTGGGCAGAGCTTAAGGGGTACTTTCGTTTCCGTAAAGTGGGTGAAAAGACCCAACTCTGCTGCCTTCAAACCAAGCACCAAATGTGATCATAAGAACACTAAACAATATAGATCTTGAATAAACCTTTGTTGGTCTTAAAGGTGCCACTGGACTCTAAATTTGTTCTATTTAAAATATATTTGTGTTATTTATAGTCTGCCTTTTTCACTTGGACTCAAGGTGGGTTACAGAGAGTTGAGTCAATACAATCAGTTTGTGGGACATTCAGTAAGCAATAGGGATGGGCATGATCCACATTTTTGCTGCGTGGCTCGTGGCCGAAACACAAACCAATAGGCCGGTTCACAAACAGAACCAGTTTGTATCAGTTCGTGAGCCATTTAAAGTTTAAACCCCTGCTTTCTGCTCCCTGCAAAAAGTGGTGGGGAGCAGAAAGCAGGGATTTAAATGGTTCAGCTGTTTTTCAGGAAGAGCAGAAAGCAGAGGTTTGGGGTTTTTTTAAACCCTTGCTTTCCACTCTTCACAAACCGCCACAAACTACATCAAAATTCATGGACGCTCATGGCAGCTCTTCAGTTCACGAATATCACTTTATGAACCAGCCAAAATTCGTGATGCATTTTAGTTCGTTAGCCGGTTCGTGTCCATCCCTAATAAACAGTGCAATAGGATTAGGGTTGTAGATCCAACCAGAAGTCTAAAAACACAACTGAAGCAGAGCAGGAGCGTTAACATGACACACTGAAAGATGCCAAAATTACATGGTGGGATCCCAGTTCCAGCAAGCCATATACCGTAGAATCAGCCACAGTCCCTAATAATGTATCCAAGTAACTCTGTGAAACTTTTAGTACAGTGCAGCTCTGTTGCCTGTGTAGAAAAGCTCTCTTGAATAATTCGGTTTTGCATAGTTTGGGGAAAGTTAGGGGAGTGGGAGCCTTCCTCACCTCCTAAGGCAGTCTGTTCCATAAGGTGGGGCTACAACAGAAAAGCACATAGATGGGCACAGGGCTTTTTTTGTAGAAAAAGTCCAGCAGGAACTCATTAGCATAATAGGCCACACCCAGCAGTAAAACTCATTAGCATATTAGGCCACGCCCCTGACTGCCCCACTCTTTAGCATATTAGGCCGCACCCCTGACTGCACCGCTCATTAGCATATTA